ATGACTGTTTTCTGACATTTTTCACAAAACAGATTCAACAGCAGAGGAAAGAAATATGAACACATATCTTGTCTTTAGTGACATTATTTTTTTATAGCTTGGAGTCCAAGACCACATGAACTGGCTCTCACAGCACCGACGGCATTCCAGTGGGCCTCACTCTGCTGATAGGAAACTCAAATGCGAAATCTCCAAAGACTTCGAGACTTCTCCCTTTCCTCCAGTCCTACTGATTTTTTGAGATCCCTCAGAAAAAGACATTCACAATTCAATTTCAACAGTCTTCTTTCCTATTTACAGACAGTCACCCCTCTAGCCTTCTTGCTAAAGCTAATGCTGCCCTAGAAACAAACTTGTCAAAACCCCAGGTAGATTTTCAAAAGTAAGATCCAAAGCTCAACTTGTTAAAAGGAGAAATTTCATACATGTCCACCCTTAAAAAAACACTCCTTTTCCAGTCCCCAGCTTCCCAACACGCCCTCGCCACCCTGCCACCTCATTCTAGGTGACCACCAGCACTCCAGCATGCAATGCACACGTAATTCTCTCCTTCCTTCCTACTTGCTGGAACCTGGTTCAGCCGAAGGAAACAGGAGGAAGTGTGAAGGATGACGTCAATGCTTTGTTTATTCCTCAAACCAAAATTGCAATGTCGATGAAACTGAGATCTAGAGAGTCAAAAATGTCCAGTGACCCCAGGTCTACCCCTGCTACTGGATTTAGCTGACCCCGGACCACACTGCCCAAAGCAGCTGGAGGGAATAAGCTCCAGCAGGACCGACCACCTCATCAGGGGCACACTTCGGCAGCAGCATCAACAGCTACTCACCACAGTGGGAACGAGGGCCCTCCACTCAGGTGGCACCAACCCCTCTAGAATGTCAGAGGTCTAAGAGGCCATAAGAGTATCTTCTCAGCTAAAAAATCCTAAAGAAAAAATTTTTTAAAGATTTTATTTATTTATTTCTAGAGAGACAGGAAGGGAGGGAGAAAGAGAGAGAAACATCAATGTGTGGTTGCCTCTCACGTGGCCCCCACAGGGGAACCAGCCCGCAACCCAGGCATGTGCCCTGACTGGGAATCGACCTGCCAACCCTCTGTTTTACAGCCCGCGCTCAATCCACTGAGCTATACCAGCCAGGGCCTAAAGAAAAATTTTTTAAAAACCCTTTTTACCTCTGCCTTAAGTTCCATTTCTATGCTGCCTCATCTTATGCTCACTACAGCCATGTTATAATGGCATTCTTAGGTCCCATTTATACACACACATGTGATTTTTTTTTAAGTGACTCAAGAGTTTAGTGGCAAAACTGAGGAAGTGGCAAAGTACCAGCATCTGAACTCAGATGTGTCCACCTTCCACGTCCAACCCCTGTGCACACTACCCTAGTTTCCTGGGTCACCGAGCTACTTACCACAGCGAGCCCTGGGACAGAGCCAGACAGCATGGAATCAGGGGTAAAATGTGGAACCAGTGGTTCCTACATGTGGCCGATTCATTAGAATCATCTGACATGCCTCATAAAAGTATAGACAGATCCACCCCCTTTCAGATTCCTTTCCTTTTTTTTTTAGATTTTTATTTATTTATTTTTAGAGAGAGGGGAGGGGAAGGAGAAAGAGAGGGAGAGAAACATCAGTGGGTGGTGGTTGCCTTTCTCATGCTCCCTACTGGGGACCTGGCCCACAGTCCAGGCATGTGCCCTGACTGGGAAGCCAACTGGCAACCCTCTGGTTCACAGGCCCACACTCAATCCAGAGCCACACCCTTTCGTATTTCTAATTGTGTAGTTCTGGGAGGAGGCCTTGAAATTGGTATTTTTATATACTTTCAGTGATTCTGACCATTAATCCACCTGATTACTTACAGAAAGATAAAAACAATGGCCAGATCATTCATGTACAGCTATTTAGAGCTTGTACTCGAATCAGTAGAATCTAAAATGAGAAACAGTGAAGAGGCCGTGTCCCAGGAACATTCACGACAGTGCCACAGGTAGTCTATAGCCCAGAAGCATGGCCGAGAGTAATCAAGGGGCTATAAGCCAGAAGGAGCAACAGTGTGGAGCATCTTATAAATCTGGCACAGATATTTCTACTACATACCAAGATAACAAGAAAACACGGAGTTTATGGGGCAAGGGCAATACAATCAAAGTGATGCAGGATAAATCAAAGAGCAGATGAGCATCTGAACCAGGAAGGGCAACTACAAGGCTGTGGACATGGAGACATGAACTGGCAAGGCCCCAAGAGAGAAGACACTGAAGAGAAAACTATCTGGATCACTAGAATGAGGGCTCGCAAAAGGCGGAGGAATTTGCTCCCGCTTTATCCTGAGCACTTTGTAAGGGCTGAATACATATTTGTAGAACGAACAACATGTAGGTGGATTTAGAGGCCAAATGGATGTGGAAGTCAACAAAGATAAATGGGTCAAGGACATCTTCAAGATTCAAATCCAAAAGACTACAATTAAGAGATGATCCGGGCACGGATGACTAAAAAGTTAAATAAGAGCAGTTGCTTTCAGCATAGGCTCTTTTTCATGACTTCTTGCTTTTGTTTACAACTTTATTTTGGCTTCTGGTCCATGAAAGAATTCAGTGATTTTGAGATGCTGTAATGTACTGTTCATAGTGGCATAAATGGCAAGGCTTCTGTTTTGGGAAGAAGAAAATGATGGGTGAGATCTTTCAGTGTGATTTTAAGAAATGGAGGAGGGTGAATCTCATGAGAATCTCCACTCAGATACCATTCCACACAGGACTTATTGGATCACTGCCCGCTGACACATCAACAGCACAGTCAATTGACCAGACTCCCCATACGCCTTAATGACAAAGGTGGCCAAGCCCTATGTGGCTGGGTCAGCCTCAGGGGTTTTGCCAACCTGAGGAGACCCCAGGCCAGAGGTGGCCAGTCAGGTTTCTGGGGGATTCTGGAGACTTGAGAACAAGTCCTACCTGGGGAAAAAACTAAACGATCCATTAAAATCTTTTCTAAACTAATGATTCTTCAAGGCACCATTTGAGTATCAGGTTATCCAGTCTTTCGCAAGGTGAGCACCATCAAAACTTGATGTACCAGGTTCCAGAAGTAAAGGTTAGAGGGCATGTTCAAATTCCTGCCAGGGCACCGTCTTCTGCAAGTCTGATCGTGTAAGATCTCTCCTTCTTAAATGACATCTAGCTACTGCTAACACGCAATGAACAGAGAAAGAGCCCTTGTTTCTATAAAATTCCCCAGCAAAAGTAATTTGTTTCATTACTCAAACAGCCAACATATATATTTTTAAAGAACTGCAAAAGTTTATATGGCTCCAATTTTATTTTTCCTTCTAATGCAAACTTTTCAAAGCCTGCCTTTCATAACACAGAGAGGCAATGCATGGGTCCAAATGACTTGACAGTTTCTTTTAATTTACATACATCTAAGCATATGTATAAAATTCCACTAGTTCAAAACACTTCCTTTTAAAAAACCTATTTCCAGTTCACATTATGCATTTATAACAGTCTGCAGTACATGATTTCTAAAGCTAAACAGTCACGGAAAAAAGGGATGGAGAAACAGCAGCATATCACTACCGCCACACTCAGTCAGCCTTTCCCCTTGCACTGCCTTCCACGGCAAAAAGTCCTAACCTGCCGGTGGAAAGGATGAACGCATCACCCCAAAGGGGCTGTCCCTGGAGTTCCCAGCGTCCGTAAAGGAAGGGTCGCCAGTTCCTTTTCATAGACAGCTTTCAGCCTTGGTTCCTGAGATTCCTTTTTTTTTTAGCCTTAAGCTTACTTCAAACGAAAGAATTCACTAACTGCAGACATTTTCCCTTTCTTCCTTGTAAAGAAAGTCTTAGAAGATCACTACTTTTAACGCCCAGGAAACAGTAGCAGTTTTCCAATCAAAATGTGAGGCACTGGAAATAATGTGCTATAATGACATTGAAACATTTAATATAACGGAATTAAGTATTTCAACACTGTATACATTTATGCTGCTGTACATGAAACAAACACAGAGTTGAAAGTTAAAAGTAATGTAAGTGCAGTATTAGCTACCCTGGGCTTTGAAACGGCTTCTATTGAGAATGACTGACTCACTGCCTAACACAGACTCTCTGCTACAGTCTCCAAGTTGACAGTTGAAAAATATCTAATCACTCTTTTGGATGATATTCCAATTACTAAAAACAGTATCTACCACAGTGAAGCAGCTCACTTGAAAAGCATCCAATTCCGGTTGTACATGAGAAATATTCGAACCCAAAAATGAGTTGCGGAAAAAGGCACCACTGGGGAGGACAGGTGTAGTGCAACCAGAAAGCTTCCTGGAGGAGCACTACTGTCTGGTTTACGCAAAAAGCCAGAGAGGAAGAAAATAGAGACATTCTTTTCCTAGAACTCCAAATAGTAACCTTTCTTAGTAAAACCCTAAGCAAATCACAGCAAAAAAAGAAAAAGAAGAAAAAAAGACTCCCTGAACCCTGAACAGCTTTCTTAGGCAGGCTTCGCTTGAAAACCTTCAGATGGAGTTCTCCCTTTGCCCTGTTTTGCAACAAGATGAGCACTTAATGGTTTGGTTGTGTTTTTTGTTTTGTTTTGTTTTGTTTTTCCTGAAATAAACAGAGACTCTCTCCCCTTTTTTGTACAAGGAGCCAAAGTTCAAAACTGGCTGGGAGACTACCAATCCCAGTGGATTAAAGAGCTTTTGCCGGAGAGAAATAATACTGATAAGGTTCAGAGTTCTATTTTACAGCCTGAGCAGCCAAATACTCACTATTCTGTGCAGTGTTCAATTCTACACACTCTCCAATCTCCAGTAACCTACGGGGATCTGCCAATGCACACACACAGAGACTCCCACACTAACGAAAAATGTCCATCTGCTGCTCAACGCCAGAGAGGTTTCCCAATCCTAGATTGCCTCAACGCAAAAAAGAAGGGGGAAGTCCAGAGGGGAGGGGAAAAACACAACACTATCTCCAGAGAGGACATTATTTGTCTTGCGAGAGACATTCAAGTTCATTAGAAATGGACAAGGTATTAGGTGGCAAAAAGAGGAGATATGGGGAACGAAAAGGAACGGAAACAGCTGTACTCCCTGAACGAGACCCCAAGCTGCACCGAGGCTGCAGAGGTAACCACGGGTGCTTGGGCTTCCACCTAGCCCTGCAAAGCTCAGGGCGCCCAGGTAGGGGCCGCCAAGGACCGGGGGAAGCCCAGAAGACGGTTCCCATTAGAGGGCGCTCTTTAGGCGACGTAGGGAAACGAGCTCCAGCCACCGAAACCCACCCAAAGGAGAAATCAAGTTCCCGTTGCTGGAAACCAAGTGCCTGCTGCTTGCAAGGGTTAGGAGAAGAGACTCCTCCGGGCCTTGAGCGCACCGGGGCCAGGGCCAGCGACTGCGAGCCTGGCGAGCTGGTGGCCTGGATCGCCGAGCTGCCACGCCACCCGAGGCGGAGCGGTGTCACACGCATCCCGCTTTGCCCTGCATGCTGCACTCCAGTGCAGTCAGTGTTAAAATGTCCTCCTGCCCCTCAGGGCCCGAGGGCCGCCCTTAGTCCTTCAAGAAAGAAGGGGACGCCGCAGGGCCGGGATTCCAGCGACTGGTGCCCCAGCACTTTCTGGCCGTTTCGCTAACCTCCGTGGGAACGCAGACTGCGCCTCCACGGGTAGCATTTCCACATAGTGTCTGCTCCCTCACCCTAACCACGGAGAACATAAAACAAAAGAACTTTTTGCAAACTTTCCTCTCCCAATACTCACGACTTTCTTAAATCAGGGTCACCTCTCCCCAGAACTTGCATTCAATAGAGCAGGAGAGCTGGCGGGGGAGATGCTGTGCAGAGGAAGGGACTTCAAAGTTTCCTGGCCGCCCCTGGGTCTCAAGGAGCCCGCGGAGAGAACGCGTTCCCTCGCAAGCCCTCTCTGGGTTCCCGCCACCCTTTTCCCTTTGGTCCTTCCCAGGCGACGCAGCAAGACTCTACAAGGGCGAAGAAATTGGTAAGTGACTTCAGGGGCCTCTGCGGTTTGACAAAACTGCGGTTCTCGTGCCCTCATCCCCAAGGACCTCGGAACAACTCCAGCCAGCGGTGCTTTTCTGTGGGGAGGGAAGGCGAAAAAAAGGGTGGAGGAGCGAGCGCATTTATTCCTGCAGCTCCCTGGGGGTATGGGAAGTGAGAACCCCCAAGTGGCGCTCCCTGATTCCTGCTGGTGCCACGGACTCCCCTCGCCTCAAACACCCCTAAAAGGGGTGATCCCCTCCTGGCCCACTCACCGCCTCCGCAGACACGCAGGCCACCAAGCCCAAGGTGAGCAGAATCCAAGCGCGCCGCATATTCCCCGAGGACCGGCTAGGAGATGCCGCTTGCAACAAGGGCGAAAGGAAGCCCCTTGCCCAGCACCAGGCACAGCCACGCAGAGAGATCCGGAGCAGGAGGCTCTGGCTCGATGCTCCGAGGCGCTCGCTGCCTCCTCCGGCGCCTGCTCCCGGGTCTTTGGTTGCGCCCTGGAACGCGGTTCCTTCTCACTTGTTGGTTTCTGCACTCCTGACGCCGAGTTGTTGCTCGGGGGAATCTGCTCTCTGGAGCTCTTCTAGCTCTGCTGTTATTTCACTCCTCCGCGGACTCCTTCCTGGTGTCTCGGCTCAGCTTCTTTTCTTGAGGAATAAATTAGATGGCTTGGAATGTAGCTGCAGCTGAAGTTTGGGGGCAGAGCAGTGGGGGTGCGCTTCGCGCGGCTGGAGCTCTCGGAGTATCTGGAGAGAAGTGCGGTGGAAGGCGGCTGGTGGCTGAGCGGCTGCGCCCCTCCTCTCTCCGCGCCGCCGCCTCCCTCCCGGGGTCCTCCTCCTCTCCGCTCTTCTCCTCCTCTCCTCTCCTCTCCTCCAGCTCCCTCCCTCTCTCCCAACCAAGCTGGCTGCTCGGGGCGCCTCCGGGCGTCGGGGGGAGAGGAGGCGGCAATGTGACTCCTAGCTAAACCCAAGAGAAATTCCTACGGGATTACGCCGGGATTGGCAGCCCGGGGAACCAGTGGGCGCTGGCGGCTTGGCGTTTTACTGCTCTGAGTCGGTCTATCTGCAATCAGTACTCCCGTGCTCCTTCGTGATCTCGCTCTCCTTTCCCCTTCTCTTCCCTTTTCCTCTCTTCTCCCTATGCTCTTTTCTCCATACTCTTTTCTTCTCTATTTCGTTTTTCCTGTCACTTTCATATTTCTGGAGAAAGATCGGGGAAGCAACGAGAGACGTATTTAGCGTTTCTGCCTGCGAGAATTAAACCAATAGGAAAAAAAAACTGCTTTGAGAGTTGGAAAAATACATACACAAAGTTTACAGATGCCTTTAAGCAGTGTGAAGTGTTTATAAATATCCAATTTCAGAAAATTGTATTTGCAAAGAGAAGACAATAGAGGTAAAAAAAAGTGTACTAAGAGTATTTCCCACCCCAGACCCCCACCCCCAGCCCCACCCTGCCAAAAGCAAAGTGGAGGAAGACTCCTATAAACCTAAAATGCAACACTTTCAAAGCTCATAATTTCATTAAGGGCCTAATACCATTCCTGCCTCACACGCAGTTTAAGCCCCTAGGGCATTTTATAGGCTTCGTTTCAGCACAGAGGTGTCAACATTCGGAAACTACAAATAGGACAGTTTGATGAAAAATTGGATGCAGACCCTGAATAATAACAGATTTAAGAGAACTTCAAAGGAAAGAGGGATAGAGTAATTTCTAGTTTGAAGAAAATAATGAGCATGTATTTCCCAAATGAAAGTAATTGATCTGAAATATTTTGTTTTATTATTTTTTTAATTCCATGGCTAGGGTATACCACAGAACATGGCAAATGCTTATCCCTTTCTAGTTTCTAATACTAGTTTTCTCTCTGACTTAGCGAGTAAATGAATTATGGAGCCGCTCTGCTTCTGGAATATGATCTCCAGGAGAGCAGAGACCTTTCTGTCTTATCCACCACTGTTTTCTCATTCCTGGTACAAAAGACACACAATAAATATTTATTGAATGAATTTTGTTCTAAAACTCAATCTAGCCCTGTCCAGGTGGCTCGTTGGAGTGTCCTCCAGAACACCAAAAGGTTGCAGGTTTGATCCCTGGTGGGGGTACATGCAGGAGGCAAGCTCGATCTCTCTCTCTCTCTAATCAATAAACATATCCTCCAGTGAGGATTACAAATCAATCTATAGTACATAAGACTTGCAACCAAAAGATACATAGATGTAGCTATATAGATACTAGGCTATGACCATACTCTAAGTGAGAATACAACGTCCTAGCAATGTTCCACTGTAATGAATCTAAAAGAAAGAAATTTAGAGAACTGGAGAGTTACAACTCAAAGTTGGAGACTTCCAGCTCGTGGCTTTTGAGTGCTAACTATGAAGCTCCCCATGGACAAACCGAAGGCATTTTCAGTCAGAAGGGTAATATGGAGAAGTGGAAGAGTGAGCAAAAAAGAAGAGAAAAAGATCAGGGCACTCGAAGTCAGGGCACGTGACATTGGATGTTTCTGATTCCACAGAAAGTGAACTAGCACCTCTGAATTAGTGTGGTCCAGGTTGGTTTGTGAAAGAAAGCACTATGCCCATATTTTTCATAAGCAGTTCTTGTGGGTTGAAGAATTTCATAAGGAGAGACTTCTGAAAGGAGGTTCTAAAACATGAGAGAGCCATAAAATGTCACCTCTGTCCCTCAAAGAGACCTAGTCTGCTCCTTGGCCTTCAAGCAAGATCATACCCCATTCTCTCCCAACAGTTAGAGTCCATAAAATACATTAAAGTTCCAATAAAAAGGGGAAATGCATTCATTCACTGGGTCTCACAGTTTTTGTTGCCTATTGGGGCATCCCACCTAATAAGAAGCATGGCAGTTTCTCTCTGCTTTGGCTTGGCCAAAGATCAATAAAACTGAAGAAGCAGATGCAGCTGTTGAAGGAATGTATTTGTCTACGCACCTGAAGACACACCCCAAGGCTCTTGGCGTTTATGAGACTCCCAGTGATTTGTTCTTTATAAATAATCACACAGTTTTGAGTATATATATATAATATAAGGGGATGGTGCAGTTTTGACAGTTAAACATACCAGGTATATGATAACAAGTAAATATTCAAGTCCTTGTGTTCAAATGCATTAACAGGTGTGGCCAATATAAAATCACTAATAGTGAAAGCACTTCCACAAGGACTGGAAAAGAAAAAAGTTACTTAAGCTGAGTGGGGTGGAGGTGTTAGGAACAAGTCTAAATGTTAGAAATGACAAAGCCCTTTGTCTTAGTCCTTTTGGGCTGCTGTAAAAAAATATTATAGACTGGGCAGCTTATAAACAATAAAAACTTATTTCTCACCATTCTATACTCTGGGAAGTCCAAGATCCAGGAAGATTGTGTGCCTGGTGAGAGCCAGCTTCCTGGGTCATGGATGGCTGTCTTTTCTCTGTGTCCTCACATGGCAGAAGGGGGCAGGGAGTTCTCTGGGGCCTCTTTTATAAGTTCACTAGTCCCATCCATGAGGGCTAAGCTCTGTTAAAAAAGAGACAAGTGGCCCAAAATGGAGTCACTTGTGCTAAACCCCCTATCAACAAACCAAGACAATACCTAACCTAACTGCAGTTTCAGCCTCTCCCAGGAATGTGATCTTAAGTCTGGAATTTTCCTGTCAGCACCAGTGAGGTCATCCACCTGATAGACCCCTTTCGTCCCCAAAGGGACAGTGGCATTGCCTGAAACAGCCCACTCTTTTCTTCCTTCTGCCTATAGAAGCCTTCCATTTCATCCAGCTCCTAGGAGCTCCTTTCTGTCTGCTAGATGAATCATTGAACAAACCTAATAGGATCTTTTACATTTACTCAGCTGAATTTTGTGTTTTTTTTTTCAGCAGATTTGGTGGGAACAATGGAACCCAGAGCAAATTTCTGAGCTTCAGGGACAATGGGAAACACAGGCTCGGTACTCTCCACACGCTTTGCGTTCATACCCTTTTTTGCCATCTTTGAAGCGGTAAGTTCCTCTCAGGTCTGAGCTCTGTTCTCTTGGCATCAGGTTCCCAATCTAACTGGTTTTCTAGTTAGTTCCCTATTTGGTTGGAAATCCCAGCCCTTGATTCTGCCCTCAGATTCTGCCCTCAAACTGTGTCCTCAGTTTCTCTGTAACTGCTGGTGCTTCTGTCCTTAATTCCCCACTGTGTGGAACCCCAGTCCACAGTCCCCATTGTGGGGCTCTGCTGGTTTGGTCATCTCTTCAATCCCCAGCTTCCACTTTGGGAACTGCTGGTGGTGACTTCTAAAAGTCAGACTGGGTTTGATTTAAAAATCGGACTGGATTGGGATTGGGATTGGGTGGGAGGGGGGGCCAACGTAAGATGGACTGGATCCAGTAAGCAAAAGCTACTGCTAATGGGAATCTCAGAAGACACAAACACACACTACAAAATTGGTGGGCACGGGTCAAGCGCTTACAACCTGTTAGAATGTGCATCGCCTAACTCTAAGGCCCCATGTGAGGATAAGTTGGTCATGGACTGTGGCTGACACTAGGTCACCCTCCGACCTCAAGAAAAATTTTGTGCAAGAGGTATGTCAAACAGCATCCAACCCCCAAACCAGAGGCACAACTCTTTCATGTTAGTTTGACTCCAAGGGACCCAAAGGCTTAGCTAAAAGAAGTATCATCGAATCCTTACATTCCAAAGAGTTAAATGGGCCACCCTCCAGCATACTTGCTTATTTCATATCTAAAATTATGGTCCCAGAAGCTATAAATGTCAACAAAGATGGAAAAATCTTAATACAAACCACAAAGAATTACAACGACCAATATAGGGAATGCGCTAATGAGACAAGATGGTTCATTTAAGAAGTGCACTTAAAGTTAGGTTTTCCAAATCAAAGAAATGGGAAACTTACTATAATTGGCATGGAGAAGTTGCCAAAAAGCTTCAAAATTCCAAAACAGCTTCCTTAAAAGATTTTTTTTGCAGAAGGCTCATGAAACGTTAAAGACAAAAGAGGTTCTTAAAACAAAAGACAGTAAGACTAATGTGGCTCACAAGGTTCCCGCCATCCTGTTACACCTGAGAACTCATGTTTTACTGCTTCTGTGTGGATGACCTTCCCACTCTGAGGAGACTATGAAATAATCACCTTTCAAAACGCATCTGCCCCAGGTTGCAGGCACTCCTCCTCAGACACCCTTCCCTCCCTGGTAAAAGGCCTAACTAAGGGCCATAGTTGAAGAATTTCCTTAAACCCGGGGAAAGACCGCAGGAGTTGTCTGAAGAACTTAGAGTCATTGTCAAGGTCTATGACACCGAGCTGCCAGTTCTTGATTGGCCTGTGCATATGCTGGTAGGACCTGGTGAAACCCAAAATGGATAAGGGATGCAAAATGGCAAAACCCCAAGGATGATATTCAAGCTGCTTGAACTTCAACGTGGACCAGAAAAAGCTCACAGAATAGCAACTAATTTTTATAAGACATTCCTAGAGTTTGCCCCCACACTGATTGGCCTGTTATTCAAACATGCAAATAAAGGGAAGATGAATCTGTAGCAGACCTTAAAGCTCTCTTCCAGATTCCATACAATGAATAAATGAGGTCACCCAACCTGCTGGAGTAGTATTATCAGTTGGGTGACCTGGATTATCTCCTAAGATTTTAACAGAATTCTTCCAACCTATTGGCCTTACAACTACAACTCCAAGGCCAGAGACCTAAAATAACACCTGGGCCTCTCATATCATACCCTCCTGGGAGTCCATTACCAAATACAAGCCCAGAGATTGATGTCTCAGTTACAATCAACGAAAATGCTCAACTGAGACAATAGCAAAGAAATTGTCCTCATAGGTCCTCTGCAAATGCTTCAACATCAACTCCGATGCCCCATGTACCTTCAAAGGAGGATCTCTCCCAGACTTGTTGGAACTGTTAGTGATTTTTTTTTGGTCTATTTTTCTTGGCTCATAGGCTTTAGCCACCTGAGCTGGTAAACTTAACTTATTCCATATGCACAAAAACAACTTAAATACAGCTTCTTTTATAACTGGTGAATTTGGTATTATTATACCTAATTCATGGCTAATATTTTAAAACAGAAGCTATAAAATCTCTGTTGGCATCAGTCTGAATGTTTATGTGTGTTTCTCCCTATATATGTATTGTAGATGTATGGTATTTTTTACCACCAGATGGCATTGCCAAAAATTAATTTGTAAAAGTGCTCCTTTTAATTGGCTTAAAACATTAAGGGCTTATAGAAATTATGATCTCAGAAATATAATACAAGCTAATTAATATGAATTCTAGGTTGATGTGATCTGGGGAAATATTTGGTATTAAATCTAGTTTAAGTTTGTTGGTTTCAGTAAACACCCATCTTTGCAGAATATATATATATATATATATATATATATATATATATGCTGTCATATTCCACCTAGGATTTTATTCTACCTAGGCTTACTAAAGGTCAAATAAGTTCATGATGTCTCTTACAAAATTGTCAGCAAGAAAAATAGTTTGGAATGATGGCTAAGTTTGTCTAATGTCTCATGAGGTTTTTGCAGGTCTAAAGTTTTACGGGTCTAAACATACTGCATTTTTAGAACTATAAGATGCACCTAGGTTTTAGAGGAGGAAAATAGGAAAAAGATTTTGAAGCAAAAAATGTGGTAAAATATTTAATAACCTGTGACCCCGCTCCACCCACACACACACAGCGAGCCAAATAAGCTACATTTCAGACTATCAGACATACCCCCATTTTTCTCCCAAATTTTGGGGGGAAAGTATGTCTTATAGTCCAAAAAAGACAGTAATTGTTAAAAACAAGTAAATTAAATAGGTGTAAGTAGGATGAAAAGTTTTCAAATGAACCTTTAAAACAGTTTTCCCAAGTGTTTTGGTACCCTGACACCTTAAAGATTTGCTAAGTTAAATGATACATTGAGTTAAGTTTATTGAATATCTGAATCATTTCCAAATAATATAAAATACTGAAATATTAATGACTGGACATACATAATTTTGGCTTCCATTTTCAGAAAAACTAAGAATATATGGGTCTATTAGTGAGTATATATTTTGTTAAGCTGAGCAATTACTATGAGAAAACATATATTTCTGGAAATTATAAAAAGTACTTATAAATTTATAAACTGTTTATAAACAGAATGCCAATATAAAAGACAGTTAGTTCACAATTACTTACTTTTTAAAGTTATCATAGAAATCAAAGATTTCTAAGGTTTAAAAACTTCTAATATATGTGATTAAAGCTACTACAGATAACCAGGGAATGGTTATCTGTATGCAAGGAAAGTAAAATGTATGGAACAGAAATGCATTTGGCGAAGGGAAAAGGAAGTGATTTTGTCCTAAAAAGAAGGTGATTATTTCAAAATAGAGAAGAGGAAAATAGCAGACAAAACCCAAACCTTGTGGAAGGCTTCTGAAAAAGAAATCTTGACAAATGTATGCATGGTCAAGCTGGCTTCGATTTAAGTGAATTTAGGTCAGTAAAAAATGAGGTTGAATATCAAAAGTAAGCTGGTGCAAAATTAGAATTTGATATTCATTCTGTTAAGGATTTTTCTTGTACTATTGGTCAGTTTCTGATATAAGATTGTAAACGGGTTTTTTGGGGTGAGGTTTTTTGTGGGGGTTTTTTGGTAGCTTTTCAGCAATCTGTCCAGAGAACAAAGATTTTGTGTCTTGTCAAAATACCTTCTCATGTTTCTATCAGATCTTCTGACTACTTAAGAAAATTGAATATTCTCTATTTAAAGTGTTGGGGTTTTTTTTCCATGACTTAACTTCCTGTTTTTGCCTTGGAAATCTCTGTCACTTTGGTTAAATGAGTAACTAGGTATTGTTTCTTAGTGATCTATTATCTAATTCGGCCAAGTATTTGAAAACATTTTGATATTCTTGGCAAAATTCCCAAAAATCAAATTCTAAATGAATTTTTTTGTACCTAGAAGTAACTTTACGATTTTTCAAAGAGGCCCTAGAACATCTCAAAAGATTCTTTTCCCCTCTCCTTATAAGAGATAAACTAATGAGGCTAATTTATATGTTAAATCACATGGGAAGTATTGTCAAATATGCAGTAATGCTAGGCCTCCTTTATGTTATATTTGTACAGGTATGTGTTATAAGTTTTCCAGAAGTTACATAAAATCCCTAACATCTGCTATGTCCTAGTCTAACATTATCAGTCATAATTCCAGTTATTATCTTAAAATGTTGTCACAGAAACCACCAAATTTCCTTACCAATTTCATTATAATAAGCCCTCATCAGATCTCTCACAATGCACATTTAAAAAAACTTTTTTGTCATTTATCGACACTTATTTCTTTACTCAGATACTTTGTAACAGGATTGCAAAAGTACTTCATCTTCAAGGAAATTCAAGGAAAGGACTTTTGACAAGTAAAGGTGGATGATAACTTTAAGATCGTTAAACTCAACTGGGTCAGACTTTCCAGAACTAATGGGGAAAACCTGAGTTCAAACAGAGCAAGAATTAATAACAGAACTGAGTGGCCTGAGAAGGAGGATTTTAACTTCCATGAAACACTGTTAGTTCTTTACTGTTTTATTTTTCCATATTTAAGGAAACCTTTTCTCTGAAGCTATGAAATGTAGCAATTTGATAAAGTATATCTTTGTAAGCAAATATGAAGCATTTTCTTCTCCCTAATAATCCCACCATAACTTAGAAATGAGTCTTCTTATTATAGCAACACAATTACTTGCATACATTCGATAAAAATCTGTTCTCCTTGCAACAGGCCTTGAGAAGTGGTCCCTGGCACCTTGCTTACAAGGTTCCAGCAAAGCAGTCTTTTTTTAAAATCAATAATCACTCTATTTATTTATTGTTATTATTGTTCAGTTACAGTTGTCCCCATTTCTTGTAACAGGCTTACATGGGTGGTCACTATTCTTGCTGCCCTTATGCAAATAGACCAGCCAAGTCTACAGCAAACTAATGAGTTTTCTGTAATCATCGATGAAAAAAAGAAATGGGGATAATTGTAAAGAGAAAAATTATGTTTGCACCTTTGTCTACATTACATTATAATCCTGTTCATTGTCTTTGAGATTCTGTTGTATACCTGTAAAGCGGATTGCATCTTGAATTCTTCTAGTTTCCTGAAAACCTGGCTAGGAATCTACAAGCTAACATTTCTAATTTTCTCCCACCCTTCCGATCTGGAATAGCTAAGAATACAGACCGCCCTCGAATTTCCTTGGAAGGGACTGCACCTGTCCTCCTCATTAACCAGATGGCAGTCAAGCTTCAGCCAAGGGAGGCCCCGCCCTACACGTGTGCCGACGTTGGAGGCCTGCAAACCAAAGTGCCTCGGAAGGTAAGTAGCTGACCCTGAGGTAGACCGCTTCTTCCTGAGATGCTGCATCAGGACTTCATACTTTAACTGAACACGAAACACTCCTTCTCTTTCTTTTCTTTACTGTGGCATTGGCCTGAAAACAGAACACCGTCGTCTGTTTTTCCTAGGCTATTGCCAAGGTGGATAATCTTTGAGAATGCTGAATATTTTATCTGTCCATGATGCTAGGGAATCTGTGGTCTATTTCCCTATCGCTGGTCAACAGCCCCAAACTCAGGGAATCTTGAATCCAGTCTATGCAAAGAAAGGGACACAAAGCAAGGATAACTAGAATAAAATTGCCTGTATGGTCTACAGACCCTTAAAATTGTGCTGGTCTCCATGACTGTCACTTGTAGTCCCAAGCCATGGATTTAAATGGGAATTACCCCGGAGTCCTTTGTGATTCAGGATTCTCTTCCTTTGGCAGGGTCCTGCTTCCTTGGTGAGCAGTAGTTGTAGATGAGGCTGCCATCAGGAGTCTCTCCTTCACTCTTGAAGTATTATGGAATCTGCAATAAAGCAATTGCTGACTCTCAGGCCAAAGTTGTTCTTGATAGGATAGCTCTTGATTACCTTTTAGCTGAACGAGGATGTCTGCGCGATGCTCTGTGCTATGACCAACACCTTCTATGCTATAACCCAGCACCCGGATTAACACTCCTGGGGAAGCTGAATTCAGTTACACTTGGCTTAGACAGATGACTCTTTCAACAGGGTCTGTCTTTGATTTATTTAATTTTGATTTGGGTTTGGGTTTTGGGGACCATGGCTCCAAAGTGCATTTCAAACATTGGGAATTAATCCTTCATGTAATAACCATAGTAGTCTCCTGGCATGCTGCATTCTCTCAAAAGCTTTAAGTATATGTTCACAGCCACTAACCACTAAGCAAATGATCTCCCTAAGACTTGAACCTCAGAGCAGGAATGAAGAGAATGACCAACTTAAAAATTTTGAACTTAAAGTAGTGGCTTGTAAATATCACAGAGATTCTGGAAAAAAATAACAACCCTCATGACCAGTGAATACCATGCAGAAAATCAACACAAACTGTTAGAATTTTAGAGCAGTACCAACGACTGGCAGGAATGCATTATTTTTTATCATCTCTCCCTCAGTTAAGCTGAGAGTCTGATCAAAAGAAGGGAACTGGTCAAAAAGAGACAACAGGTCCAAAATGGAGTCCCTTGGGCTAAGCCCCCTGTCATCGAACTGAGACTTAACACCTAACCTAATTGCAGTCTCAGCCTCTCCCAGGAATGTAATCTTAAATTAAGTCTGGAATTTCCTGGTCGGCACTGGCAACATCATCCACCTGACAGTCCCCTTTCATCCCCTAAAGGACGGTGACATTGCCTGAAACAATCTACTCTTTCCCCTGTTTTGCCTATAAAAGCCTTCCATTTTTGTCCAGCTCCTGGGAACTCCTTTCTATCTACTACACTGGATGCTGGCCAGTTCATGAATTATTGCATAAAGCCAAATAATCTTTAAAATTTACTCAGCTGAATTTTGTTTTTTAACAGCCCTGATGATCAAAGTACCTCCCAAAGCCCCAGTGTCATTACTATCATCTCACATGTTAGGATTTCAACCTATAAAATCAGAGTGGGGGCACAAACATCTATTAGTGGCCTGTCTGGGTGTTCTACTAACTGGATTTTTAACTGATGAGGACTATAATTCAGTAGCATTTTGTGGATTATGTCTAATACACTAAGCGAGCGTGTGACTGCAGCCAAAAGTCCCTCACTATTATGTGTGTTCAGGTCCTCTGTCTGAGGACTGTGCTTTGAGGAGCACAGCCAGTAAATGATCAAAACTGATCATTTCCCAAATAGCTTCGCTGCTTGTTAAAAGAATAAATATCCTAACTCAAGAATCTCAGAAGAAAATGGAACAAATAAACAGAAACTGAGAGGCAGAAATGTAAAAAAAAAAAACAAAACAGGAATTAAAAGGTAACCAGAAAAAATAAAATAACAGAAATGAAGGCTACTAGGGACATATTTTTTAACCTAAGCTGACACATTGGTCATTATGGTGTCATGATATCACCTGGCAACCGTGGACAAACAGGTGCTGTGTCCCAAGGTGACCTGTCCAGAGTAGGGAACCGCAAAGGGAAGAAGATGTCACTGTATTGTTGGTTGTTCTTTTACTTTCCATTCCCTGGAATGTCATCAGGGGGTAGGCTAGAAATCTATTAGGTAGTATCAGCCCTGACGAAATTCACCTGAAAGACAACAGAATTTGAGAATAAGAGGGAATCCAGCCAGCCAACTATTAATTACACAGGCTAATAATGGCAAGCGAGTGGAGGTCATGATGAAAATCTACAGGCAATCTAAAAACATCTATTCATAGTCTAAATCTTTCCACTGTTTTTCCCATTCGCCTCTGTCAACCCTTTGCCAGGGAAGTTGGGTAACTTGAGTTTCACAATTTGATTTGGTGCTAACATTAAACAAAGTGTTACATTTTGGGTAGCAGGACATAGGCAAGAAAGTCAAGAAATTGTCCAATATATGAATTATCCCCTGAATAAAACAGAGGAGGCAAAAAGGCAAAACATTCTTGTCTGTTTCCCTAATAAAATGGTATGTTCTTTAAAGGCTAGCAACACTTGACATTCATTCACCAAACTTATTATCACCTACCACATGTCAGGTACTCATTGCCAAGGCCCATGAATGTTACTGAAACATGTTAGAGTTAATACATCCCTAAACTAAGAGGTGTCCTCAAATCATGAGTCTGTGTCTTAGGTACATGTCAAATTTCATCCTTAAATCAAATATGAAATTTTGAAGAAAACCATGTTTATAGAACACATTGTTATTGGGCACCAAAAAACATTTTTCTAAGAGCCATCTGGGATATATAAATTTAGCTAGGTCTCACACAGATGTTTTCAAGTAATGGCACTACACTTATATATATCCAGTTGGGCAGGAAAATCTAATCTTAGCTGACTTTATGTAAAATGGTGCTACTGTTCCTATCTGTAGACTATTATTACTCTTATTGCTATCTGTAGACATTAATGTCAGCTAGTCATAACCCCATGTAGCCTAATCGGAGATCCAGCCTTCCCAAGGCCCTGAAGAGCAATCCTACATACTATACATTCGATGGTCCCACACTTTCTTGATTACAATTATGTGGGGATGGATATGGGGGCAGGCAATTTATTACTGGGCTGGTGGCCAATCACATTCACCCTCCAGATTCACCCATTTAAGACAAAGAAGTCAGAGTGTAACTCAACTGTATGCTGATCTGGGAGTCATCCAAAACTGTGAAATAGAAAATACTGCTCTACAGTAGAAAGAGTAAAGCAGGTGAACAGAGAAAAGCGGAAATAGGGGATGCATGGCTCCAAAATAATGTAGATTTCTCAATTTTTTCTGTTGCTTTTCTGGCCTCTATTGAGACCCAAATCAAATGTGTTCCTATAGGATCTTGGAAACACTTGAGTGTCCTTAAGGCCAGATCCTTGTTATTTAGTTCTGTTCCAGGTAAGCCAATAATCCCCCCAAAATATGAAAATGAATCATAATTTTGACTGCCTTATCTGCACTCTGAATAGAATGAAATCCTTGTCATTTAATGCTTTATAAGGCATATATAGGTAAAGAAGACCTATATAAAGACAAACTACTATAAAAATATTTAGATGTTCAGAAAAAAACTTTTCAAGAAAATGTTTTAATTGTTGAATTACCTTGGGGAAAAGGTTTTTCATGTTCAATAGAGATAGAAAATCTTAAAAACCCTAAAATCAACATAGAACACACAGATATTTCTCTGAATAAAATAGTATTGATACTGGGATCACACAGATTAATGAGGGAAACTGCTTCACTGAACATTTTTATAAAAGATTTAGAAGGCCAGGTGCACAAACGTCCCAGAGTAAGAAAGTTACTAAGTTCTTTCAGGTAGTGAAATAGGAAACAGACACGATAGCCCTGCGTGGGTGAGTTGAGAGTAACCCAATGCCTTAAGGTGATATGACACAGCCTCTTCCACCTGCTGTTAGGGGAGGCTGTGCACTGCAGGGGGTCACAGCTAGGGTTTTGTTGACAAACAGAAGGGGGTTTGAATCCTACTTCCACTTCCTATTGTGTTCTAAGAGACCTGGACTCCTGAGGAGGCCACTGAACTGAAGCCTCAGTTTTGTCATGAGAAGATTGAAGATAATAGGGTTAATGTGTGGAGTCTACAAGCTAACGCATGTGAAGTATTTAGCCAGCTACTTCAGAAAACTTACAATAAATGCCAGCTATCTCAGGAAGTGTCAGTTGTCATAAATGCCAGTTATTGTTATTAGTATTTCCTCTGCCTGGAATAATTTACCTTTCCCTGCAATTGCCTGCCTCGCTAATTCCTACTTCCCTGTTCAGTGTTAGTTTGGAAGTGTCCTCGTTAGCAAATATTTGAGTGCCTCCTTGGTGTCACACACCCCCTCCAGGTGGCTTTTCCTGATCCCTAGAGCCTGAACAAGACCTTTGAGACAATCGATCCTTACCTATTAATTATAAGCTGGAATATTTGAGTATTGGGGAAAAAGGCTCATAGGAACATGTGCAGATGTGGCTAAAAGTACAAACCAAACACGAAGAGTCATTAGAAAGGGCATGGGAAACAAGAGGACCCATCATCATTTTATATTTTAATGAAATACACTCACCATAACAAGTTTAAGCCCAAATAAAAATCTTGAGAAAGATGATAACCTTCCAAAATTGCAAGTTCTGAAATAGAAGTAAAGAAAATTGAATTGTGAAAACAAAATATCGCCCCTTTGAATTCAGATAGAAATAAGGAAAATGCTCACGGAAAGGAAAAATACAATCAAACAGAACTCAAAATGTCGACTTTTGCTCCTTTTCTCACAGCTATGAGTAATGTGAGTGACCAAGGAAGGGACGTTCTCTGCAGATTTCAGTCCAGTGTTGCATCATAAAAGC